TTTGTGCTTTTATTGTTGATCTGCAAACTGATCAACAATAAATACAAAAGGGTCTTTAAGAGAGAGCTGCCTATATTCATAGGTACAGGATGTCAGTGTGGTACGTTAATCTCTCCGTTCAGTTCAAAAATCTGAACTTGCTCGTCTGGTGCAGACCGCCATGAAGAGGTCGTCTGACCCGTCTCACATCCTCCACTCGGAGTATGAGTGTCTGCTCTTTTGTTCCCATGTCGAACACAAAATGTGAATGTTTGGTAAGGCTGTGTGGGCTGTGTAAAAGCGTCATGGTGTTTCCTATATGTTGTTATATTCTCTCATGCTGTGTTTTTTCAGATCGTGTGCAATGGGGGGGAGTGTGCCTCCTGAGAAACTCCTGATGGAGGAGGAGCTGCATGTTTGAACCCAAACAGACACATTTATTAAATGTAAGAATAAATTAACCATGTTTTTTCACCACACTCGACATAAGCTTTGGACGCCTCGCTGTAATCGTTTAATCTCGATTCTTTTCAAAATCATAAATTAAATTAAAACTTGATGAATCTCCCAACCCTACTTTAATCCAATCAGACACACAGAGCAGATAACATCATTACATAACAAATTTGAGGTTATTCACATATGATCTATTTCAATTTATTACTTTTTCTTAGGGTCATATTTCTTTGTTTTTTAAAACATATTTTATATTTAATCTTCTCTGTGATGTTTACATTTTTGTTTGAGTGATTTTTAAATTAATTTTTCATCTTTCTCAGGATGCTTTAGAATCGGCTTCTTCCTGGAATGTGCATAACAACTAAACTTGCCCAATAATAATAACAAAATTACATAAATAGTGTTTTGTTTGTTTTTATCTGTGTCTGTCAGTAAACATGAAGATGATGATGATGATGAATATCTCAGTACAGAGTTTCCAGTAAATACCTGCGTGACCTCTTTGACCTCTTTCATAAAGCGGCTCACACACCTGTTGAAGCCTCCGTGTGTTCTCGCCGAGCTGACCCGGGTCTCCGACCACAGCCGCCGGCGGAGGATTCAGCGACGAGCCGCTGAGCAGCTCCGGTTACCGTTAGCTACTAGAGTTAGCCTGTATGCTAGCGGCGCAGAGCTAACGGTCCCGTTATTCACGAGGCTCCGGATAAAAACGAAATAAATGTACAAACTAACGACTACAAGTTCCGGTACTGTTCTCACCGAACCAACAGCGAACCGGCCTAACAGAATAACCCGGGTTAAAAAGTCCGACAGCTTAACAAACCGATGCTAATTGAAGCTAACAGCTAACAGAGCCGGAACTTTGTTGTTTCTGTGATGTGGACTTAAAAGAGGTGAAAGTTTACCGCGTTAATCCTCCTCATCTGAGTCCGGCTCCGACCCCCGAACACTCGTACCATCCGGAAAACAACTCCTCCGATCAGATATCAACTTTTATCTCAGTTTTTGACCCGGTTTATTGTCTTTAATCTACAACAAGAGCAGAGGAAAGTTCAGCATCTGTTTACCTGACAGGACGGGCTGCGTCCCAATTCTCACAGCACGTCCTTCCCTCCTCTCCTTCCCTACTTCCCTACACACAAGTGCTACCTCCTCCTCTCCTTACCTCCTTTACTCCACACACTTCCTACCTCCTCATCTCCTTCCCTCCTTCACGACACACACTTCTTACCTCCTCACCTCCTTCCCTCCTTCATTACACACACTTCCTACCACCTCCTCTCCTTCCCTGCTTCATTACACACACTTCCTACCACCTCCTCTCCTTCCCTGCTTCATTACACACACTTCCTACCACCTCCTCTCCTTACCTCCTTTACTCCACACACTTCCTACCTCCTAATCTCCTTCCCTCCTTCACTACACACACTTCCTACCACCTCCTCTCCTTCCCTGCTTCATTACACACACTTCCTACCTCCTCATCTCCTTTCCTCCTTCATTACACACACTTCCTACCTCCTCATCTCCTTCCCTCCTTCATTACACACACTTCCTACCTCCTCATCTCCTTCCCTCCTTCACTACACACACTTCCTACATCATCCTCTCCTTCCCTCCTTCACTACACATGTGCTTCCTCCTCCTTGTACAGTTTATGACGGTATAGAAGGTCAAACTCAACTGTTTGAATGCAGGCGTATGTATTAATGATTACAGTCCTCTGTGTGTGTGTGTGTGTGTGTGTGTGTGTGTGTGTGTGTGTGTGTGTGTGTGTGTGTGTGTGTGTGTGTGTGTGTGTGTGTGTGTGTGTGTGTGTGTGTGTGTGTGTGTGTGTGTGTGTGTGTGTGTGTGTGTGTGTGTGACTGATAACACTGACACAATGATCAGATAACAGGTTCAAGGTGAGGAGAAAACTTTATTTAAAAACAGCTTGTTTACAGCGTGTTAATCTTTATTTACACAAAGCGTCTCCAGTTCATCAAACAGCAGAAAGTTCAGAGTGAAAAAAGTACAAATAACCAAAAGGTCCAAAAAGATACAAAATGATTTTTTACAGCTCAGAGTTTGAAAATAAAATACAATACAGAAACACTGACGTACAGAGTGCACCTGAATGCATCACTGCAAGGACAGCTGTGATGTCACACCAACTGGCTGTGATGTCACACCTACAGACCGCCCACACAGCTGGACAACAGCTGGTCCTGGACCTGAAGGGGGACACAGACCGCACACTGGAGTACTAATACTGCGCAGTATCAGAGTCGTCACCGATACCTGTTTGAAACCATGGCAACAGCAAAACAAGTCCTATACCCCCACTAATAATAATAGTAATTATTATATACTGCGCAGTACTGGTACTTCTCCACGCGTGCTGCAGTGAACCCACACGGTGAGAAATGAAACTGAAAGAACAGAAAACGTCTTAAATACTGAAACATTTGAACGGGTTTGGTTGGTGGCTGGTTCGATTCCTGAATATTTGTACTCACTGCGCAGAGTACCAACACTGTGTCGCTGCAGAAAACATCCTGAAACTGCAGCACTCAGACTGTATTTACACCGTGTCTGTGTTTGTGTTTGTTTGTTGTGTTTGTTGTTTGTTTGTTGAATTTGCTTGTTTGTGTTTGTTTGTTGTTTGATGTCTGTTGTTTGTTTGTATTTGTTTGTGTTTGTTTGTATTTGTTGTTTGTGTTTGTTTGTATTTGTTGTTTGTGTTGGTTTGTGTTTGTTTGTATTTGTTGTTTGTGTTGGTTTGTGTTTGTTTGTATTTGTTGTTTGTGTTGGTTTGTGTTTGTTGCTTGTTTGTTGTTGAATGTTGTTTTCTGTGTTTTCTGTTTGTTTGTTTGTATTTGTTATTTGTTTGTGTTTTTGTTGTCTGTTGTTTGTCTGTGTTTGTTTGTATTTGTTGTTTGTGTTGGTTTGTGTTTGTTGTTTGTTGTTGAATGTTGTTTGTTTGTTGTTGAATGTTGTTTGTTTGTGTTTTTTGTTTGTTTGTTTGTATTTGTTGTTTGTATTTGTTGTTTGTTTGTGTTTGTTGTTTGTTTGTGTTTGTTTGTTGTTTGATGTCTGTTGTTTGTTTGTGTTTTTTCATTGTGTTTGTTCATTTGTGTTATGCTTTGGCTTGACACCGGAGGAAGAAGAAGAGGTGCATGCTGGGACTCTATCTGCTCCTCTGAAGCGGCGGTCACATGACAGCTGCTGCAGCCAATCAGAAACCACGGGAAGTTTAATGACATCATAACTGCAGATTATTTTGAATAAATAATCACAGTATTTATCTGTCAGTCGGCGTGGCGGGGACAACAGCAGTGTCCAATCCTGAGCTGTGTCTAAAGGTGGGCGGGGTTTAATCCGTTTGTGTGTTTCATCAGTTACCATGGCAACTGAGACTGAATCACATGTCATCACAAATCAGACACTAACTGTTAAGAGACTTTCAGGGGGATAGTCAGAACATCCCATAATGTTTCCTGGAGTGGGCAATGTTTCTTCTTCATGGGTTTAAATAAGCAGCTGTGAGTCATGTGACCGAGGCTTCCTGTAGGCGGAGCCTGAAGGTCAGACTGAGCCACCTGAAGACTGATAGAGACAGTCAAACTGTCGTAACAACGCCGGATCAGTTTGATACTCAGACTGCGTGTTATTAAAATGTACTTTATAAAATGTTTACATCATCACATGAATAAAAACTGTCAATCAATCAATCCTCAATAAACACTGTGACATCATTGTCTGATTGTCGCTGCAGAACATTTTATTCTGAAAGTCTGAAAGCTTCCTGTTATTGCTCTGACCCGTGTCAGCAGACGTGTCTCAAAATGTATTCTGTCTAATCACCAGCAGGTGGCGACCACAGAACGCCTCGGAGAGGAGTTCGCTCATTCCTTCTTCACAAACAACACTCACACTGACCCCTTCCCCTTTCACAGGCCCCTCCCTCTCTTCCAAATACGGTAACAAGATGGCGACCGTTAAGATTCCTGTACACAGTCGACGCTAAAGAGTCTGACAGGAAGTTCCTGTCTCGTGATGTCACACAAACAAAAACCATCCATGAGTGAACGTCAGCAGCAGCGTTTTATAACTGTGTATTATTATTGTTATTATAATGACGGTGTGATCTTTGTTTTTGTTGTTTGACCTGAAACTGAGACAGGAACGCCCTGCGCGGCAGCTGTTCCAGGTGTTACAGGAGGTTACCTGACGGATCAGCTGCTGAACGTTTAGTGCAGAGATTACCTGAAGGTTCTCACCTGAGGATCAATCAGCTGATCTATAATCTGCTGGTCCGTGAAAAGAGCTGGTGATGTCAGCTGGTGATCATGTGACCTCACAGAGAGAGAGAGTGCAACAGCTTCATCATCATCATCATCATCATCGTCGTTGTCATCATGACTCGTATCAAAGGCTCGTCGTAGAAAAGCTGGTTTTTCATTCTGATTGTCTGAGCAGATTACAGACGAACACGTCGTCATGGTAACCTTAAAACAAAGTAAAAAGAAAATCTGCTGAATAAACAAGTTCAGACTTGGGGGGTAAAGGGGGGGGCATCA